CCCCTCCCCCCCCTCCCCCGGTGCCCCCCCCGGGACCCCCCCGGGACCCCCCGGAGCGACAGAACGAGGGACAAAAACAACGGACGGAAAAGGAACCTATGACGTCACGCACAGACCGAGAGCGGGAAATAATTAGAATAATAATTAGAATAATTAGAATTAATAATATACTCGGGGGGGAGGGGGCCGCCATTCCCCCCCACCCACCACCCCCCCTGCCTGCGGGACCAGTCAGCACCGGGGACTGGGACCAGTCAGGGACTGGGACTGGGACTGGTGCTGCATACTGGGGGGACTGGGGCAGTGACCGGAGGTAACTGGTCCCAGTGCTCAGAGGTAACTGGTCCCAGTGTCCAGTCCTGAACTGGTCCCAGTGCCTGGAGATAACTGGTCCCAGTTCCCAGAGGTGACTGGTCCCAGTGCTTGGAGCTGGTGGTCCAGTCCTAAACTGGTCCCAGTGACCGGAGGTAACTGGTCCCAGTTCCCGGCTCTGACTGGTCCCAGTGTCCAGTCCTGAACTGGTCCCAGTTCCCGGCTCTGACTGGTCCCAGTGTCCAGTCCTGAACTGGTCCCAGTTCCCGGCTCTGACTGGTCCCAGTGCCGAGCCCTCCCCGCCCTGTCCCCTTCAGCCTGTGCCAGCCCCGGGGGCTCGCGGGGGTTTTTGGGGTGAGGGGCCGCGGCTTTTGGGGCTCCGCGACCCCCCCAGTCCCTTCCCAGTCCCTTCCGGACCTCTCCGGGTGGGGACAGCGCTGCCACCGGGGGTGTCCCCTGCCCTCCCCAGCCTCGGAGCCCCCCAAGGCACCGGCAGGGCCTGGGGGTCCCCGAGCCCCGATTTGCGTCCCCCGGCTCGGGGACCCCCGATGGCCACGGGACCCCTTTGTGTGGCCTCTCCCTTCCCTGGACCCCCCAATCCCCCCCCGGCTGTCGCCGTCCCCTCGCTCGGGCCCCCGGTGCCAGCAGGGCGGTGACACCGGGAGACACCGGGAGACACCGGGTGGGTGACACCGGGCAGTGACACCGGTTGGTGACACCGGGTGACACCAGCCTGGCACCGGGGGTCCCCGTTAAGTGCTGAATGGGGAAGGGGAGGGGGCCCGGGGGGGCTCCGCGCCCTCATCCCGGGGCTGCCTCATCCCCGTTAAGCGCTTCGGGGCTCCGCGGGAGCTGTCGCGGAGCTGTCGCGGAGCTGTCGCGACAAGTGCTAAACGTCCCTTGAGTCCCCCTTAAGTGCTGCGAGGCTGCGGGGGCCGCTCCCCGCCCGCAGCCCCCCGGGGGATAAGTGCTGGGGCCGGGGGCTCCGGGGGCTTCGGGGGGCTTTGGGGGCCGCGGGAGCTCCGGGGGTCTCGGGGGCTCCGGGGGTCGCGGGGTCTCCGGGGGTTTCGGGGTCTCCAGGGACCGCGGGAGCTTCGGCGGCTCCGGGGCTTTCGGGGACTTTGGGGGCTCCTGGGGCTCCGAGGACCGCGGGGGTTTCGGGGGTCGCGGGGGCTTCGGAGGCTCCGGGGGCTTCGGGGGTGGCCGGGATTTCGGGGGCTTTGGGGACCGCGGGAGCTCCGGGGGTCGCGGGGGCTTTGGGGGCTCCTGGGGCTCCGGGGACAGCGGGGGTTCCGGGGACCGCGGGGGTTCCGGGGGTCGCGGGGGTTTCGGGATCTCCGGGGACCGCGGGGGTTTCGGGGGCTTCTCCCCCTCTCGGAGCCCCCTCCGGCCGCTCCGGTACCGGGCCCGAGCCCCGCCCGCCCCGCTCGGAGCCGCTCGGGACCCGCAGGAGCCGCGGCGGAGCCTCGGGGAGCGCGGGGGGTTCGTTCTCACGTGAAACAAACACAAACAACGGAAAAAGCGAAAAAAAAAAAAGAAAAGAAAAGAAAGAAAAGAGGAAAAAAAAAAAAAAAAAAAAACAACCTCTCCGAGGGCAGCGGGAGGCGAATTTTGCGGCGTAAGCGGAATTTCAGCCCCAGCCGGAGCCTCCCAACAATTCTGGTGTCGCCTCCGGGTGACCCCCGGGCCGCCCTCACCCCCCGGGGGCCCCGGGGCCGGTGCCAGGGCTGGATCCAAAGCCCGGCCGGAGGCTCCGGCCTCGCCTGGGGGGGGTCCCCGGGGGTCTCCGGGCTGCGAGGGGAGCCCGGGGAGGGTGATTAATAAATAAATAAATTAAAGAAGGGAGGCGGTTTCCTCCCGGTGCCCCCGGGGGTCCCGCAGCGGCCGCGGGGATGGGGTCACCCCCCCCTCGGGGGTCACCAGCGCTGCTCCAGGAGCGCGGGGGTCGCGCTCGCTCTTCCTCATCCTCCTCCGAATCATCCTCATCCTCCTCTGCCCGGCGGGATCCGCGTCCCCGAGGTGTCCCCGAGGTGTCCCCGAGGTGTCCCCGAGGTGTCCCCGTGTGGCCACCGCGGCCTGGGGGTCCCTCCCGCCCCCCTCCCCTTTTTTTCCCTTCTCGGTCCGGTCGCTTTTATTGCACAATGCGCTGTGGGATCGCTGCTCCCCCGGGGATCTTCCTCCTCCTCCTCCTCCTCCTCCTCCTCTTCTCCTCCTCTTCTCTCCTCCATCCACCGTCCAAACCGATTTCAACGCTTGGCCTTTGTCACTTCTCGCTTCCCGCCCCGCCCCGAACCGACAACAAAAACAGAAAAAATCAGGGGAAAAAAAAAAAAAATCAGGAAGAAAAAAGTCAGAAAAAAAAAAAATCAGGAAAAAAAATCAGGATAAAAAAATCGGGAAAAAAAATCACAAAAATTCGGAAAAAAAAACATCAAAAAAATTTGGAAAAAAAAAGCAAAAAAATTAGCAAAAAAATAGCAGAAAAATAGCAAAAAAAAGAGGAAAAAATTAGCAAAAAATTAGCAAAAAAATAGCAAAAAAGGAGGAAAAAATTAGCAAAAAATTAGCAAAAAATTAGCAAAAAATTAGCAAAAAATTAGCAAAAAAACAGCAAAAAAAAAAGAAAAAAAATTCAAAAAAACATCGAAAAAATTTCAAAAAAATGGCAAAAAATTAGCAAAAAATTAGCAAAAAAATAGCAAAAAAAATTTAAAAAAAAAAGCAAAAATAAAGCGAAAAAAAAATCAGAGTCTGAGGCAGCGAGGGGCGCAGCGGGGAGGGTCCTCACTCTGTGCGTGACGCACTGTGGCGGGATGCTGTGTGTGATTATTTTGGGGACGGCGGGGGGGGGGGGGGGGGGGGCGTTCAGCGGCAGGAAATCCATCTCTAAGAACAACCGCAGCGATCCACCACCATGCCGGGGATCTTGCCGTAGATGATCTGCTGCTTGTCGTTGAAGTAGAGCATGTTGATGGGGGACATCTTTGTTGGGGTGCAGCAGGGCCCGGCCGAGCCGCGGGGGTTCGCCTGCTGCACCAGGTGCGTGTGCGGGTATTTCTGCATGAACATGTACTCGCACTGGCCCGAGCAGTAATTGGCTTTGTAGCGTTTGGGGGCGATGATCCAGTCCCAGCCGAACGCCTCGAAGTCCACGGTGAGCGGGTAGCGGCAGCAGCGGGACTCCGTGGAGTGCTCGTCGCAGTCCAGGCCCAGGTTACGGCGGGAGCGCTTGTTGTTCTCCAGGACGCGCAGCTCCATGAAGGGGTGCTGGGGACAGGGGGACACGGGGACACGGGGACAGGGGGACA